CCATAGCGAACCCTAGAGGACGCAGTGTCTCGTTCCCTACTCAGGGAACCATGGTTACATAAGTAACCCGAGACGTTTTCTTGGTTTCACTTTAATTATAGGATTTTACCTACTTGTCTGTTTTTAAAGACATTTTTTTTATTTAACCCTGTCTAGGTTTTAATAATCTTTTAATAATCTGTCAGGGTTTTAATAATCTTTTACGTGCAAGTACACATTATTCATTCTTGCCCCCTCTCTTGTACTCTTCATGCATGATTTCAGTCATGTAAGTCAAGTCACCTTAATTTATATAGCACTTTATACAATACAGATTGTGTCAAAGCAGCTTTACAGTGTCAAACAGGAAAACATTATTCATTCTTGCCCCCTCTCTTGTACTCTTCATGCATGATTTCAGTCATGTAAGTCAAGTCACCTTAATTTATATAGCACTTTATACAATACAGATTGTGTCAAAGCAGCTTTACAGTGTTAAACAGGAAAATTGTGTGCTGATAATGCTAGAGGACAATAGAAAACAGTCAATTTATCAAAGTCAGTTCATTGTTGATTCAGTGATGTCATCATCCAGCTCAGTTCAGTTCTCTTCCAATAGTGTTTGTGCAGTCAAGTCAACAATGCCGCCAGAAATAGTGTCCCCAACTAAGCAAGACAAAGTGGCAAGGAACCAAAATTCCATCGGTGTGCATGGGAGAAACCAGGCTCAGTTGGGGGGTCAGTTCTCCTCTGGCCGGAAAAAACCAGTATGGTGTGGCTTAATTCCAGCCTGCAATGCACGTCAGATTGAGCAGAGGACTCATCTGCTTCTCGTGGTCTTGTGATGATGACTGATGAGGTCTTCACAGGGGATCTGTCTCTAGGGTTTGTCTAGTTGACATGGTCTCTGCTGACATTCAGGGCTGTAGAGGTCGTCTCTAGGTGCTGATCCACCATCTGGACTGGATACGGGGGAAGTGTTCTGCTTGACCTAGTTAGTGCAGACTAACAATCCTTTAACAGATTTGATTTATAGAAAAGTGATCGTGTGTTATGTGTATGTTAAAGAGATGGGTCTGTAATCTAGATTTAAACTGACAGAGTGTGTCTGCCTCCTGTACAATGCTATTTGACCTGGACATTTCTTGGTAGTTCTTCTGAGTTCTTAATAAAATAACAGGCAATCAACAGAGCAAGATTAGCTTAACTGGTACAAATCATTTCAAATAAAACAAAACAGTGACAATGTTATACACATATAACACATCATCATCCAAGATAACATTCTTCAGATTTTTCTGAGGTTGCGTAGAGATTGAAGTGATTGACAAGCACAACTTTAATTTTCACATATGCTCACATTTTTCCAAATCAACTTGAGTTTTCAAACTCTGTGTTTATATCACCATCACAGGTGAATTTTACAGTAAAATAAAGAAAAAGAAAGCAGGAACAATAAGAAGCTCTACCAAAAAGGGCACCTAAAGAGAATAAGACAGAAAAAAGACTGTAAACACACAACACTACATATCACAGCATATAATTACACATTCTGAGAAGAAAGCATATAAATAAATATTTGTGTGACTCCTTATAATTTTTCACCAGGAAAATAAAACATACCATCCAATGTAACATTGGCACAGGTTTTCATGCGAAGTAGCTTGTTTGATGAGCAGCTCCACTTGAGTTGGTACATCAAGGGTCTCATCGTGGGAAAAGTCTCGTCCTAGAAGGAGTAAGTACACATTCACATAAATCCATTATTATTTGTTTTACTAGCTGTTGATTTTTGATAAAGAATGATAGTGCTAGAATTGTGTATTAAGTCACTTAGAAATGTATGTGTTAGTTCTCTGTGGTCAGAGAGTGAATGAGTTTTGCTCACCAGTTAGCTTGTCCCGCACCCTGTTGATAATTTGGATGGCTTTCTTGTTCAAGGCTTCAGGTTGCACAAGACCATCTCCAACTGAAGGAAGAAAAAAATAAAGCTACAATTTCGACGATAAACTCACTGAAAAACACACAGCCTAAGACCTGATTATTAAGCAGATTAAGCAAAGTGCATTTTCGTGAGTAGCAGCATAATAAATGTTAAGACTGTAAGTAAGTGCTTATGTTTTACTGTATTCAGTAGAAGATTATTACTAGGGCTGTTGATTTAACACATTGACTTGATGTAGTTAATTATGTAACTTTGATGTAGTTAATTATTAAAACCTGTTAACTGCTTTTTAAAACCAACTAATCTCATAGCACTATTTAATTTAATTTAATTGAAAAGACTTTATTAATATACCTAATATCATTTCAGATGCAGCTTCTGAAAATTCCTAACTCCCCCCAACTCCATCCAAAATGAATTTTAAACCTTGAATCATATAATAGCATATTATTCGGTTAGTTTTATTTAATTATTGAAACATTAAAGCTTTTACCTATTTGTGCTTAAACCAATGGAAAACAAAAAGTTTTCCTTTTATGCCTGTGTTGCTAATCATTTCTACTGTGTTCTTATCAAATATTTGTTGGTGAATCATGTTTTGTGAGGAGTTGAATGTTGTTTTTTTTTGGTTTCAGGTAAACGTAAATCTTCAAATGGTGATTGAAATAATGATAAATGCATGTTGATGTCACATAGCAATGTGTCTTAAAAAAATATGTTTTCTGGTGAAGGAGGATAACCCACAGCGGAACTGATGGTGGGAGGAGCCAAGGTGGAATTTTGAGCCCAAACAACAGAGGTGAAGCTGGGAGATGTGGAGGCCCAGGCAGAGTCTGATGGACTCAGATTCAGTGACACAGATGGACCAGGAAACCAAGGCGGAGGCATGGTGACAAGCTGCCGAGGTGGAGCCAGGGTACTGGAGGGCAGAGTCGACAATGGTGTAAGTGAAGACAGAGGTGAAGCCGGAGGGAAGGAGGAGCCCGATGGAGCTGCAGAGGTGGAGGAATGAGGCGCAGCCAAAGGTCTGGAAGTCCTTGGCGATGACTGACCAAAGTGGAGCCTGGTGGATCTGGATGGACAATGGTCCCAGGTGGAGCTGAGAGGCCAAGGTGGAGCTGAACAGACTGTGCTGTGCGGGACTTCCAGAGGCAGAAGAGGTTCATGGGCGGGAACTGGTGGGGAAAGGGGCCCCAGGGTGGGAAGAGTTAGTATCACTCTTCCTCATCCAGCTCCACTAATATTACCACCGACACACCTGATCAAACGAGACCTCAGGCTTTTCCTCTGGGACGGACGAGGCTGCTGGCTCTGGCTCCGTAGCAGGCATTGGCTCAGGCATTATGTCTGTGGTGAGCATAAGCTAGGTCTCTAGGTCTGTGGTGAGCTCTGGCTCATTATCCGCGGTGACGCCCACTGCCACTATAGGGCTCTAGGTCTGAAACTGTGACTGATGTTACATGGAGCTGGATGCTGGGAACAGAATCCTCTTCAACGTCGCCCACCATAAAAGAGGATCCCTCTATCCACAAGGCCAAATTGATCAGCCAGGGTCAAACAGTATCCCCTTTGGCATTACCATCCGAACCTCGCTGTCCAGTCCATTCCTGAACCCATCCATGAGTGTCAGGTCGTGGCAGGTGGCAGGATGGCAGATGCTGATGAACTCCTCCACATAATCCTCCAGGTTTCTGCCATCTTTTGCTTCAAATGCATAGTATCATTCACATTTTTGTCTGGAGCCAATGTCTGGATTGGATTCAGAACGATGATAGTGCATAGTTGGAGATATACTGTAGATGGAGTAGATCACTTCCATAAACACCCCTGCTTGCACAGTCCTATACTACTTCCTGGGTCGACATTTCAATCAGTTTTTCATCAATTTTCATTTATGTGCTGTATAATGTTTGATGATTGAGTTATTTTGGATAAGCATCTGCTTACATGTGATCGCTTGTTTCTGCTTCTGTTTATTATGTGCATGCTGTAGTTTTTTTCTCTGCCGCTTTAAATGCTTGGGTTTTTTAAAGCCAGATGGATTCTGTTTGACTCAATGATTTTATCATTTATCAGCTGATTTTTTTTTTTTTTACACTTTATTTATGGTAACACTTTAGTTACACCTCCATAACAGTGCATTTATTTGATCAAACATACAGTAAAAACAGTAATATTGTGAAACATTATTACTATTTAAAATAAAAGTTTTCTATTTTAATATAATTTATTCCTGCGGTGGAAAAGCGGAATTTTCATCAGCCATTACTACAGACTTCAGTGTCACATGATCCTTCAGAAATCATTTTAATATGCTGATTTATAATCAATGTTGGAATCAGTTGTGCCGTCTAATATTTTTTTGGACCTGTGAGACTTCAGGATGAAGTCCTATGTCAGAGTCCTTTCCACAAAGCTTTGGATTTTTAATACATCTGTTGATGAATAATAGTGATAAAGTTTGCCAGAAAATAATACTCATTTAGTTGTTTATCAGGTCTAGGGAGAAACCCCTTGTCTGTGGTGGCATAAGAATAATAACGAAGATAAAACCTGTTCTGCTTTTGACAAGTAGCCAACAGGAAAGAAATTTAAAATTGTGTCAATTTTAATTCAGATCAAAATCACTTTAGATAATAATCATGACTTCTGAACTTGTAAATTACAACTACCCAGGAGGACTTTAAAGCATAATGACTTTGAGGATTGAAGTTAAGTCTTCAAGGACTTACTGAAGGAGTGAATTGACTCAGGCACTGTAGTTCCAGGCTTTTTGTGGGTTGTTTCTCCCAGGTCAATACCCTCCATGGCTTCTATATGAAACATACCAAAAAGAAACCACAAAAATGTATCTATTACCAAGAACATGCAATAGTTTTGATGGAAATTCTGGATGAGTACATTAGAAGTCACATCATAATGTCACTTTGTCTTTATGGGACTGTCCGAGTGTGTGTAAATAAAAGCATTATTTACGGGAAAGCTCCAGCAGTGCGAACAAAATCTTGGAAACAACTTCTCCGTCATTTTCTGTAATCTCTCTGCTTGTCAAGGTATTTTACAGGGGAGTTGACCCTACTACGGGCACTATTAATTAGAATGGGGATAAAGTCAAAGACTCACCGACAGACTGTCCTGCCGTGTAGGAGTCAGTTCTGGTCCTGGAGCGCTTGTTGCCTTTAGTGTTTGCTGCAGGAGAGAAAAGAAACATCCAGTTACTTGATAAACTTTACTTTTCTCACAAACAAAAGGTCTGACAATCAAACTAACATCAAGATTTTAGGTTAATATTTTAAAATAATTGAAAAATTAATAAACTAAAATGGTATAAATGTAAATAAATAAAATGAATAATTGAAGAATTGGCTACTGCATACTGGTCACTAGGGCACCAACAGTGTAGGCAAGTAATGCGTTACAAGTATCAGCATCAAAAGTCTTTCTAGAAAACACAACATTTTCTTACGACCTTATGTGAATTCAAAATACATTATGAAATATGCTGGGTAACAGGTACATTATAGCTATAATTAACATCAAGATACACATGACAATTTATGAACTTAATACTATACTTGTTTATAAAAACTTGTGATTGCTAATATGGATTTTATATGTTATTTGTAGCTTTTTATAATAAGCTAATCACGAGACCTGTTTAGGATTTCTCATGTAAACATCCTTTATTCTCATTTATGTCATCTTTTTTTTTCTCCAGATGACCACAGCATAAAGAAGTTCTTGATACAATAATGGCCCATAGAACAACATGAAGCAACATTAGATGGACCTTTCACAGACATACCTTCTGAGCACAGAAAAGGTCCTCATCCACTGTTATGAAAGCATACAAGGATTAGGTAACCTTGACCCTGTTACCATTTGAGAGGCAGAAGCCTTTTCCATCTGGATTTTAAGTTCTTTCCACAAATTTTCTATCATATCATGCCACATGTGGACCTCCTCTATGCCAAACTTCAGAAGGACACCGATTTTGTCCATATCAAATCTCCAGCAGCTGCAGCAGGACAAACAAAAGATCAGGTAGCAGCTCTATTTCGGTTTACTATATAATTTGCATGAGAGGAATTCAATTCAATTCAAAGATAGGAGGAATTCTTTTTTTTTTTTTTTTTTTATATATTTACATTCTTACTTAGAAACAAAATTTAAAGGGGTCATGAATTGAGAAATCAACTTTTACTTGAGCTTTTGATATATAAGAGATCATTGTACTAAAAGAATATCCTGTAAGTTTCAGAACGGAAAACGTCCTAGTTACTGAAATAAAAGCTTTTATTAACACCAGGCCCAGTGAACGCTGGATCCTGGAATGTGCCTACCTATGACGTAATAGGTTAAACTCCGCCTCCTAATTCTGTAGCCCTGCCCACTGATTAGCACATGGCATAGTAGGGAAATAACGTAAGTGGCGCTAAACCGGATCGAGCAACCAAGCAATAAACATGCTGTTGAAGATCGCAAAATCTAAAAAAAAAACTGTGCCTGGTTGTGGAAGAACACAGTCGCTGCATAACCTTCCTTCGGATTCAAATATTAGGAATGCGTGGTTGAACTCTAAAGTGAAGTGACATGTGGCCAAGTATGGTGACCCATACTCAGAATTTGTGCTCTGCATTTAACCCATCCAAGTGCACTGCACACAGTAGTGAAAGCACACACAACGTGAACACACACCCGGAGCAGTGGGCAGCCATGTGCTGCGGCGCCCGGGGAGCAATTGGGAGTTCGGTGCCTTGCTCACCTTACTCGTGGTATTGAGGGTGGAAGAGAGTGCTGGTTATTCACTCCCCCCACCGACAATTCCTGCCAGACCTGAGACCCGAAACCGCAACATCCAGGTTACAAGTCCGACTCTCTAACCATTAGGCCACGACTGCCTCATTATTTTTAATGAAGTTTCAGCTCACGTGAGTAAAACATTGAGTGTTTGCTTGCTTGATTTCACCGCGGATTCCTTTGCAAACAAGACACAGGTCGACGCTGGATTTGCAGAGAGACTGAGATTTAAAAGCAATGCTGTCTGTCTATATTGGATCTGACAGGAATGGCACATTTGTGCGAGTAAAAAATATTTGTACTATGTGTCACTATTGCTTTGTTTAAGATCACTTGACATGTCCTGATTATGTGTACGTGCCTAACCAAAGTCACAGAAGGCTATAATACATCTGTTACGCTGTTAAGCTGGACGTAGCTTGTCAAACAGACACACAGAAAGGTAGTTTACTATGCAAAACTGTTATCCAATCATAGCAGTGGACATTTACTTCCAAGTCTTCAATGCGGCACGCCGATAAAAACCGAGCATTTCTCGAGCAGGCCTCAAAACCAGGGTAGAAATAGCCTATTACTTATTGATTTTGATGTTTTTGAATGTAAAAACCACGTGAACGTCATAAGTGGACCTCAGACAACAGTATAAAAGAATAAAAAAAGCCAGTTCATGACCCCTTTAAGTAATAATATTTTAAAAAAATTAAAGACAAACACGATAGAAGCAATGTAGAAATGCAAATAAGGTAAAAATAAGGCAAAACAGGACAATGCAGTTTAACGTGAGCCATATTAACAATATTTCATTTGTTACTGTTTTTTTTTGCCACAATTTATTGTCTTTCAAAATAGCGCCCCAGTGATATATATATTGATTGAAAAAAACGCATTTTCTCTCTCTCTCTCTATATATATGTATATATAATGAAAATGCATATTTTTCAATGAAAGACAACTTATAGATTTAATATTGCCTGTTTTTGGTGCTGTTTTTATTAGTCAATTTGTGTTTCAAGAATAAGGTCTAAGGTTAAGAATAAGCTATTAAGAATTAATTACTTAAATGTAAAATGTTTTTCTCTATTTTACAACATTACAATAGCCCAGTGAAAGACTACTTCTCTTACTGATCACGTCTCACGTAGATTGCATGTTTTCTTGTGCGGCTGGATGTTGGACTCATGAAAAAATAATCATGTTGTCTGTATTAGCCAAAACAGATTTACTGAAGTCAAAACACGGACGGAATTGGTGTCAGTGCAAGTGCCGCTTGCTGTGAGACGGGAGCGACCAGCTGGCAGAGGATTTCGCAGGGCAGCCTTCCTCGAACAGTTATGTTCACGATTTCTGATTTAGTTAACGTATACTGCGCGAGGGTGGCTGTGACTGGATGATGAAAAGTGTCGGTGATCTCAAGTGATCAGCACTGCTGCTGTTGTATCAGCTAGTAGCAGTCAAGAAACGGTACAAGAGAGGTCACGTATGGGACACATAAATTTAGCCCAATATACCGGACGGTTGGCAACCCTACACCAATATCTTTCAACATGACACATTTAAGATGCTAAACTGCAAACGGATTTTGGATATCTTGAATAGTGAATAGTGTTGCCATGGCAAGGTAAATCAAATTTGCCATAGTATATAACCACTAGACTGTGGTATGGCCCTGTTAAAAATTAGCTATGCTAACACCATGCTATTACATTTACAATTTTGGCATTACATTTTAATAATTTGTAGCTGAAAACTGTTTTCAGACATAATTACTTTTATTAGGAAGTGCATTTGGATATATATTTAGACATTATCAAAGACATTATTTTTGTCCCAGTTTAGACCTTTTTTAAAATGTTGAGTTCTCTTGCTGGTAAACAGTCTCTAACTGAGCCTTTGATCTCACTCTGTCTGTGTGTGTGTGTGTGTGTGTGTGTGTGTATGTTTTACACTCTCAGTGTTTTATAGTTTAAACCATTTATTGCTTTACAACCAAAGACTACCAGAGGATTCAATGCATATGCCTACTGTGCACTGTTGTAACACATGTTGTCCTGAAGATGGCAGCAAATCCTCTGTAAATGCCCCCAGAGTTAACTACTGCATTACTGAACTTTCTTTGCACTCTCTTTATCACTCAACACTTAACTGTAACCATGGCAGAAAAATAACTGGTAATTTTAAATGTTATGAAGTTGACAATGCCATCACTATACTCTCTGTAGGTCTGCGATAGTGGGATACACCATGGAACAATTCTTCTTCACAAACCACTTTGTGACCTTAATGCAAGGGGACAGGTTTAAACAGTACATGATGACATTTCCTGAAGATGCACTGAGCAACACTTTGAAGGCCTATCCAGTGCTCGACAGAAATAAGGTGAACACAGATCTTAGTCTTATCTACTGCAAGGAAGAGAGTTCAGAGCCTGTTGTGGTGCTGTAGACGTCCTCCAGCTGTTTATAGAAAAAAATCTTGAAGAGGTCTTTTCAAACAGAGTGTGGGGTCAATGCATCTTAAGTGGTCCAAAGCCTGATGGTTGTTTTATTACCTTGATTACTTACTATTGATAATAAACCCACATTAAACTCAAATTCACAGATTAGTGGTACCTTATTGCATGCTGAATTTTTTATGTATTAGCTAAGCAGTGGTGATTCATTGTTCACATGGTTGTTGTTACATATCACCTGTTAAATGGCTTTCATTCCTGCATTTACATTGCCCTCCACCCCTCCTATTTCTTTAGCACCAGCATTTTCACGTTTTTTTTAGTGTAATGGTTCTAATAGACAATTTTTGCACACACCTGAATCAGCTGTACGTGTCAATATATTGGATCTGTGTATTAGATCTTGAAATGACAGGAGCCTAATATTATTCAAACAACAAAAGAAACTCAATCAAAGCTTCAACTGAATAACTTTTGCATGATTAACAAGTATTAATCTATATTTAATTTATGCATTTAAATAAATGTAATAAGTGGTTTCATTTGATTATTTAATTTTATTTCTGTAGTATTTTATACCTGAATATTATAATATATTTTTTGACCTACCTAAAAAACTAAAAGCACTGTTGTACTATTGCTTGTAATTTGGTCCAATAGCATATAGATGCATAACTCTTATTGTGCAGTGATAATGCCAACCGGGATGAACTTCTTGACTACTGACCCACCACTGAAACAGGCTCAGTGAAGCTGCTGCAATGAGATTCATAAGCCTCATTGCCTCATTCAACAGACCTTACAGGAATGGGCTTCACGATTAATCGAATGCGAATGTCATGTGCATTTTGTTAAAAAAGCCGGTTCTGTAATCAGCAGGATATCATCATCACGTGCTTAGAATTTATTACACATAGCCGTAGTTCACTGACAAGTTACGCAAAAAAATCACAGACGGTTTTATTGCGTGATTCTGAAATCGAAGAAATCGTTCGCGATAATGACAGCTGTTTGCATAGCTTCTCAGTGAACTACGGCTCTGTGAAGTAAATGCTGCTCCATCTGAAAGCATGTGAAAATACCACATTTAATAACATATTTTTACTCCAAACTCACTTCATAACGTCAGTCGAGTGTTTGAAATAAATTCTTCTGTGAGATGATGTGGCTTCTTACACAGAATAAGGCACGCACCATATTTCATAGTATTTAAGCAGTGATAAAGGCATTGCATTATAAATATACTTTATTTTAATGAAAATTATAATAATAAGAACTCAGATAAACCGTATATTGCCATAGTCATGTGTTTATTAGTCACTTTGAATCAATGAAAGCAGTTGAATCTTCTGTTTATTCAGCTGCAGCGATAGGCATTTACTGGGTTTCTTCTGCGAGGCGCATTTGGAGTTTCAGCACGAGAGCGCCCTCTGGCCTTTGGATGGAGATTTACTGCTGATCACAGAACCGTGCTTTTTTTTTTTTCTGCAGCAAACCAGCTAATACTTTCAGTGGAAAGATACGCATGACAATCGCAGCTTCTGTCGAATCGCGATCTCAATTCCATTTCGATTTATCGTGCAGCCCTAGTTCCACCCGCCAGAAATATGGTCTGTAGCCTTGGCCAGGTAAGATTCGAACTGCCAGACACCTTTATGGGCCGGGAAGGGGGAACTTCTGCACTCACTACTGTATAAGAGAGGACTTCTCATTGAGGACTTCTCACAAGTTGATCATAACCACCAAACTCTTTCCTTATGTTTAGGCAAGGAATGCCATTAAAATTTCACCGCTGTATCATTCTTCAAAATCTGAAAGGAAGTTCCATAGTGTCAGTTACTGACACAGCATTGAGTGAACCTATAAAAGGGAACCCTAGAAAATGCTGTCTAAAAAGTTTTAGATGGAGTATAGCAAGTGACACTGCAGGTGAACTTTCCTAAGTGTATGTGCAGTCTCTTGTTTTCTCTGAAGCTGTTTAATGCCAGACGTACAAGGTGTGATTTGTGCTAGTGTAGGGCCTTGCAAATGATTTGTTCGTTGGGAGAAATCATGTAAATTGTGGATGCCATTTAGTCGACTAAAAGCAAGTCAGCGAGAAGAGGCTTAGTCAACCAAAATTGTATTAGCTGGTTTGCTGCAGAAAAAAAAAAAAACTCCACAGAAAGAGGTGAAGTCACGCAGTCCATGATAGACAGATCAATAACGGCTGGTCCTTGCAATAATTACAATACATCAGGCAGGAAATAGGTTTCAAATGTAAGCCTATCATCAAACCTCAAATATGGCTTATCATTGGAAATTTAAATATGTAAGCAGTAGCAACTTTATGGTGGATATCCAAGAGTGTGGAAGCTATTAATGTGCTTACTGCATGACATGGAGGCATTGGCGTCATCGCTCGTTTTTTCCCTGATAACAGCAAAAACAAATTAAAATACTCTGTCATTTTTGCTCATACAGATAAAAGTAAGACATCATTCTAAACTGGGTCTACTTTTATTTGTGTGAACTCACAATGTCAACAAAATAAACTGTGTTTTCTGCCATCTCCGTTAACTGGAAGCAAAATATGAACTGAAACTCAACATATATGGGACATGTCTTGCCTCACAGGCATGTAGATATCTACAAAAAGCTTGCTTGACATATCTACTTTTAAATGAGCCAATTCAAATTGAAAACAAATACTCTCTAATTAGGTGATCTGAATGAATGGCAGTATCGTCAGCTTCATATTCGACACCGATTCAGAAAACTCTAGTTTATTAGTAAATAATTAAAATACCTCCTTGCTATTTTTTTCTGACACATACATAGTCATTTGCCACATACTTCTGCCAGTGCTTTGCAGCAAGTAATCAAGTAATTAAATTAATTTAAACGTGCGATTAGTCGACTAATGGCTTAAATGAACAACTACTAGTCGACTAGAGAAATCTTTAGTCACGGGCAGCCTTAATGCGTTGTCACGAATCCTGTCCATGGACTTCCATTCGATCGCCACCAGAGATCACCCTTCCGTTACATTGACTCTCGCACTACACAAACTGTTACACATCACCCTGGACTACATTTCCCATGCTCCATTGCACTAATCACAAGCTCATCTGAAACCAATCACACACAGCTGCTACCAATAACACACACTATATAAATCAGTCTCACACCACCATTCAACGCCGAGTATTGTTTAGCGTTTATCTCTCATCTAGTGATAGCTACTTTACGGAGCCATTCCAAGTTTCTGAATCTAGTATAGCCTTGTTCTTAGTCTGTTTACCTGTGTCTTGATCCTTGTCTGTTATCTCGTTTTGTCTGATCTCTGCCTGCCCTGAAGTTTATAGCCTGTTCTGGAATTACCCTTTGCCTTGCTGTTTCGGACTGTGTTTGCACCTCGCCTGGACTCTAGCTCATCTTGTGGATTCCCCATTTGCCTCGCCCTCAGGATTAAGTTCGCCGGAGATCGACCACGCCCATTTACTGGATTACTCTTGTGTCTTGCCCTCAATATACCTGTTTGCCATTGTTTGACCCATGCCTGTTATGACCACGTCTCTGTCTAATAAAAGCCTGCAGATGGATCCGCACGTCTCACGTCTCGTTCGCCCCGTAACACCCATACACTGACACACAAATTCACTCTCTAGTTGTTTTTGTTGAATGGAATAAACATGCTTTTCTCTGCTATTCACCAAATCATTTGCACAGCCATCTCTTTATTTTCTGTTTCCATCTAAAGCTATAGCAGCAACAATGAAAACTCTAATCTCTGTGGTTAGCACAAAAGATTACGCAATAACTGCTGGCTCTCCATGCAGTCATGCAATGTATCAACTGCTTTGTCACGATTATCAGGTTATCTGACTCGTAACGTGTGGAAAGGCTCACAAACTCCCAAGTGTCTGAACTTGCACTGTGTATGCCCAACTTAAGACTCAACAGGATTGCATGGCTCTGGTATTTTTAAGTCTTTTGAATAAGGAAAAGTTGTGTTCTCACTGTCCATAAGCCTCCAGTTGAGTAATGGATCGTAGACAAAAGCCTCCAGCACGGCCATGACACTGTCCCTGTGTTCACGAAGTACTTCCATCACCGTGTGACATGTAATCCGGTAATTACCATCCAGTCCGGTCACCTGAGAGGAAACACGACTTCAATAAACTCATAATTTGCTGCTTATTAAGTTAGTAAGGTAGTTGTTAAGGTTTAGGTATGGGGTAGGATTAAGGGATCTAAAATATGGTCATGCAGAATAAGGCATTAATATGTGCTTTATAAAGACTAATAAACAGCCAATATGCTACTAATATGCATGCTAATAAGCAACTAGTTAATAGTGAGAAGGTCCTTAAAGTGTTACTGGCATTTCTTGGGTCAATGGATATATACAGTAACTCACAGAAGTGAGTACACCCCTCACATTTTTGTAAATATTTTATTATATCTTTTCATGTGACAACGCTGAAGAAATGACACTTTGCTACAATGTAAAGTAGTGAGTGTAACTAAGTAGTAATGTTTTACTTTTTTATTATGCAAACAAGGAAGACTATTTACATAAGACTAATACCAAGGCAAACAAACATATTTGGTATCACTGTTTTTCCCAGTATCTAGAAAAGTTACTAGTTAAGGCAAGGTGAAAAACATTTGGGGCTTCAACACTCCAAATACACTCACATGCAACAGACCATCTTACCTCCATGGCATTGGTTAACATTCGGGTTAATCTGAAAGGTATTTTCTCAGGGAATTTTTCTCTTGTCATTGCAACCTTAAATATATATAGAAAAAAATCAGACGTGAACAAACAAAACTACTGTATGTTGCTTATTTTTTGTTGTTTATAACAATAATAAAAAATCCTACCTCAAAACAGTCCCCAAAATCAATATGCAGTATCTTTCCACTGAGCCTGTCCAACATCAGATTGGAAGGATGTCTGTGGTTGGAGGAAAAAAGATTATGCTTGATCAAATTAATGAATGAATAAACTAGTTTGATAAGTGTTGATAAAAAAGCAATAATTCCAGTTTAGTTTGTACCTGTCCCCAAGCCCTAAGATATAGCCAACCATGGACATGACAGCTAGTGAGCGGGTGTAGTTGGTCCTCCTATCAAACCAAACCTGTATGAAGAGGTAGCCATTTTTATTTCATTAATTAAAATAATAAAATAATGAAAAAGTAATCAATTGAATCTCATTGTATAATTTTTTCTTAAAACAACCACATTTCTATGGAGACAATAGTAAATATATCTATAATGGTATAAATTTCACCACTAACAGAAAAAGTGACTCAGTATAATAATCAAACAATGATATTTTGCATAGAGTAAATAAAGCCTATTTTAGACAATTCCAGAAAAATCCACCCTAATTAATGTAACACTAAAGAAATCTCACTCTGACTACTGTAATAGATTAAATAAATGAGAAAAAAATCCTCTTTTTTTTCTCAATGAAAAACTTACAAAAATAGGCTTAATGTTGTTCATGCAAAATTAATTTTGATAGTGTACTTTAGACATTCTGCTAACTATAAGTAACTTTGCAACTACATGTCAACTAGCAGTTAGTAGAATACACTGTCTGCTTAATATCTGCTAACAAATTATTTTTATGGTCCTCAACAGACATTCTACTGACTATAAGTAACATTGCCATTTCAAATTATTCTACTAACCCTAACCTAACAGTTTACTAACAGTCAAGTCACCTTTATTTCTATAGCACTTTATACAATACAGATTGTGTCAAAGCAGCATCACAGGGATAAACAGGAAAGAGCATGACATTTGATGGTGCCTTTCCAGATGCGTAAGCTGCCCATGCCACACGCACTCATGCAACCCCATACCATCAGAGATGCAGGCTTCTGAACTGAGCGCTGATAACAACTTGGGTTGTCCTTGTCCTCTTTAGTCCGGATGACATGGCGTCCCAGTTTTCCAAAAAGAACTTCAAATTTTGATTCGTCTGACCACAGAACAGTTTTCCACTTTGCCACAGTCCATTTTAAATGAGCCTTGGCCCAGAGAAAACGCCTGCGCTTCTGGATCATGTTTAGATATGGCTTCTTTTTTGACCTATAGAGTTTTAGCCGGCAACGGCGAATGGCACGGTGGATTGTGTTCACCGACAATGTTTTCTGGAAGTATTCCTGAGCCCATGTTGTGATTTCCATTACAGTAGCATTCCTGTATGTGATGCAGTGCCGTCTAAGGGCCCGAAGATCACGGGCATCCAGTATGGTTTTCCGGCCTTGACCCTTACGCACAGAGATTGTTCCAGATTCTCTGAATCTTTGGATGATATTATGCACTGTAGATGATGATAACTTCAAACTCTTTGCAATTTTTCTCTGAGAAACTCCTTTCTGATAATGCTCCACTATTTTTCGCCGCAGCATTGGGGGAATTGGTGATCCTCTGCCCATCTTGACTTCTGAGAGACACTGCCACTCTGAGAGGCTCTTTTTATACCCAATCATGTTGCCAATTGACCTAATAAGTTGCAAATTGGTCCTCCAGCTGTTCCTTATATGTACATTTAACTTTTCCGGCCTCTTATTGCTACCTGTCCCAACTTTTTTGGAATGTGTAGCTCTCATGAAATCCAAAATGAGCCAATATTTGGCATGACATTTCAAAATGTCTCACTTTCAACATTTGATATGTTATCTATATTCTATTGTGAATAAAATATAAGTTTATGAGATTTGTAAATTATTCCATTCCTTTTTTCACAATTTGTACAGTGTCCCAACTTTTTTGGAATCGGGTTTGTATATTGTCATCATAAAAGTGTGGTATTCTTTGATTGCAAACTGCTCTGAAACCACGAGCCTGTAGAACAGGGGTCGGCAACCTTTTGGGCATGAAGTGCCATTGTCAATCAAGCTGTATTTATACAGTACATATCATTTTTAAATGTTCAGATAAAATAAATATTTCTGGAACATATATCTTAAATATTTCTGGAACATTTTTCATAAATTGTTCTTTAAAATTTTCAAAATCTTAAAAGTTTGTTTATTTTAATGTGAACACGACTGTATGTGTGTGTGAATGTTGTTCACACAACACCCGTTATTGTGATTCGTGTGTGGAATGTTAAGAACCGACTGTAAACTGACTTAAAAATAACCAGCATTTGTAGCAGCAATTTATTAATTGTTAACAGCAACAAATGCAGAATAAACTGTAAGCTGTAGAACATGCAACAATGCAGCGTTCAGAATTTAAACTTGCAGCACTCATATTTAGTTAATAAAATCCCAGCCTTTTGAAGTTTAATAATCACATTAGACTGTATCGTGTATCTGCATTTTCGCCCCCAAATTTAAGTCCTCTTAAAATGATAATTAAGATGTTTGATATACAATTGAACATATTTAAGACATTTTAAGGACCTGCAGGGACGTGTTTTATTTGCTCATGTGCTCCTAAATGCATTTTACAATTCGATCACATCTATTAGAGCTATTTGACTTTGGTGAGAAAATAAGCTTAATATACGACACAATTTTTCGATGAGAATGAAAGATGATGATGATTTCAAACCTCTGAGCTGGGACTCTTAAGCCAGAGCAGTTTGGCCAGGTCATCTCCTGCTGTATTGTTCACTGCATGCTCAAACACCTCTACCTTCTCCATGAGAGTCAAGTGATCATAGTCAGGTGCCATCTACCATAAATGACACAGTTTTAGCCAACACTTAATTGAATGGGTTATTTAGGAGATCAATTTAACTTCATTTCTTCACGTCCTCCCACACCATCCACAGTTAGTTTTGTTGTGCCCATGACATAATTAACTTGTGGGAACATAATAGTCTATGATGTGACCAAGAGGTAATGACATTCTTATGTCTTGGCCATGAGATCCTATGTTAAGGGCACATTCACATACATTCTTTTCATGTGGCAATCTAGGATAATCAAAATGAAGACATCAGCATTAAGACACTGCTAATATTATTATATTATATTGTATGAGATGCATAGATATCTCAAAAAGGTATGACAAAGGCTACTTGTTTGGACAAAACGTTCGTGATAATAAATCTTGCTTAAGAGAGTGTGCAGTTATCATTTTTCTTCATTACGTTTACTCAATTAACTTGCACCTCAAAAAGGTGTGTGTTTGTTTTACTGTTCTATTAAAAAAAAAACATTTTTATTCATCTCATCCCGAAGTCTTTTAAACCCATTCACTGATACATTAAATGAAGGGGAAAACAAATATATAATAAATATGATATATACAAATATTAAACAACAATAACAAAACTGATCACTGAACAAAAATGCT